TTTTGGCCTGAAACACAAGATGAAATAAAGACATTACATACAAATGCTCTCAAATAAAGACAACACCACTAACTACTAGTTCTGGCAGTAGTTAATCCACAGGTTACCTTTCTTCTGCTTCCTTTTTCCCTCTTGGTTGGCAGCATTCTTGGACCTCCTCCTCACAGGTTATTCTTTGGTTATGGGCTCAAAAAAAAAACAACAAAAAAACAAACACATCACTCCTTTTAAAGGCCATCATTCAAACTTCCTGTGGCCTAAGAAGTTGGGGGGAAAAATAAATAACCAAATCGCACTCACAGTTAAACACTTACCGGTTTAAAGACGGCTTTGTGGGTAATTCACCGTGTAGTATTTGTTCTTTCCAGCCCCGATGTCCTGTAAACATTTCACAACACTTAATGCTGGCCAAAAGTGTCATTTCCAGTAACAAAAACAAAAAAAACCCCAAAACAAAACAAAAAAAGTTCTTACTCGAGTAGCTCAGAAATGGCCAGGACGATGTCGTTCACGTAACAGAAACCAGATGCTTCGAACTTCTTGGCGTGGTGGAGTCCACCGGCCCAAGTGATGGCGATAGTGGTCTGCTGCTCCCTGAAGGGATTTACTTAATCAATGTTATACGGGCACACACGCTTAAATAGTGAAAATGTAAAATAGAATAATGAATGAGTAAATGTGTACACTAGATAACGTGTCGTCTTCTTCATCATTCCAATTTACTACAAAGTGCAAGCAACGTTTTAAAACAAACGCACAGAATAAGCCGCTTCTTCGCCAACACACGTGGCTAAAGTCGCAACACCTAAAATGTCTGGACCACCCAAACTAAGAGTGCAGATATTTAGAGGCCGAATAGCATGCTGACTGAAGCGATACGTGCAGTCTGAGTTAGTTTGAATGTGGAAACCGTGCGGCTCAAACAGGCTACTAGGCTAGGCTACTAACAGGTTTAGCACGCTAACCGGCAGCCCCACTCGGCGGGTCAGCAGCGTACGGACGGTTTAAAACAGACCGTCCGCACGCTCTGCGGAATACTGGTTTTTCACATGACGCATTAATCGCCCAAGTGAAGAGAACCTGAGATGGAAATACGTACCGTCGAAAAAAAATAGCAAACGGTCTTTCTGATGTCTTCACACAGCGCCATTTTGCAACCATCCCCAGGGTGGAAAGAATTACCGCGGCGCCTCGTTATCCAATCACAAGCGTCCTGCACGGCACCTACAATCCACCAGGTGCAGGCTCATTAGTTTGTTAATGGGTAGATACACACAGTCACTGCACACTATTGTCAGTGCAGCTAAAGGAAAATTCCAGCAACTCTTATAGTGATTTATGCTGCAAATACTTATCACATCAATTATCACCAAATATCTGCAAATGTTACAAAAAAAATGGCCAAGAAACGAAGCAGCAACACATTGTTTGCGTCTATCTGTGACAATACCAAGGATACATTTTAGCTCTGGGAACTGACATCTTTTGTTTGCAGCTTCGTCGACAAATATGATTGTTGCCGTAAAATGCTTTTGCTGCTGAAGGGAATGGGGCGCTCAAACTGCTAGCAAGCAAGACAAATGCAAAAAAAAAAAACACTGCAAAGTAAATATTGCCTGCTACCCCCCCCCCGCCCCCCCCAAAAAAAAATAATATCGCAACATGTCAAAATCACAAAAAAACAAGTAAGACTATAGTCTTACGATTGTAAAATTTTCTACACCACACTGGTCCCTCAGCAGCTACTGCACATACAGTATTAGGAACCTGTTTATCCATGTGAGTCAGGAGTGATGTCATCTCTGTTAGTTTCAGTTTTTGACTGTAATCCAATCTTCATTTTCGCAGTAACCACATCTACCGGCCACATCAAATGTGTCACAGAAACTACCGTATTTACTTTAAGTCGCACCAGCCACACAAAAAAAAAAAAAAAAAAAAAAAAGCATAATGAAGAAGAAAAACAAACCATATACTGTATGTCACTCCAGAGTATATGTCACACCGGTGCCCACTAGTGGCTGTCAGTGTGAAAATAACGCACATGTAAATTTTACATGGTACAGGAGTAGAAGATACTAGTACACAAGCCTAGAGTGCCCTCTATCAGCTATCAGTGTGAAAATAAATTACATTTAAAATATATAAGTCGCACCTGAGGGAGTGCGACATATCGTCCAGAAGACACTGTTCCAAAGCGTAGCGGTTAGCATGCCTGCCTCTGAAGCGAAGAGCGGAGAGTCCTGGGTTTGATTCCCAGAGGAATCGCATGCTTGTAATGTCACTCCTCCTTTGTAAGTCACTTTGGATAAAAAGTGTCTTCTAAATGCGTAAAAGTAAGTCTGAATATATATTTTTTTTTTTCCAGTGAGGAACCCAAGTGTGTAGCCTTTGTATGTACTAGTTGGAGTTAAAAAAGGAGAAGGAAGAGTGAAAAGGATATTACAGAACCATAGTTCACCGTGATGTCTTTATATGCTGTGCATCCAAGACATTGAAAGAACCAAAAACCCGAAAGTGACCCCAGGTCTAAATGTGACTGTTAATCATCGTTTGTGTTTTCCCGTGTCGCTGTAATGGGAGAACGGCAGCTGGGAATACCCATTCCGACATGGACGTCTGTTTTTAGACTCCGTCCGGTAAGTCCCGGCCTCAACCTGTTCTTGAAAGTTTGAATCTGAAAGTGAAACGATACATTTTTAAAGCTTAGTCATACGCAGCTCATCAGGTGTCTCTATAAACTGTCACTGGTTTCCATGTGATCCTTTTATACAGGAAACGGACTGCAAGTCATTTAACAGAATCTGACATAATACATTCTTTAGAAACACTAGTGGAAAGTGTTACAAACACCCACCGTTAATTAGTGTTTTTACTGGCACGGATTTGTTTATTCAACCCATGATTCATCAACAGGTATTTTGTTGTGTTCCCGAAGCTAACATGTTTCTCCTTCTCTCACACCGTAGTTATACGGAGTGCAAAACATGTGGACGGTTACACACCTAGGATAATTAATTATTACTTCACGTGCATAGCAAAACGTTAAGGAAGTGGACCTGGGTCCGGAAGGGTTCAGGTTCGACCAATAATAAGAACACATTTACAAAAACACACAACGACGTTGACTGAAACAGTCAGTTTTATCTGTATGGCCTAAATACACCAAAACACATTTTAAAAATTAGAATTTAAAAAATGTCCTCCTTAAAAAAAAACATGACACCTAAGACAGAGAAGAAAAACACGGACACTAAGGTTTTTGTCTTTTGTATTTGGAAAAATTCGCTGTTTTTTTTCCTTTTAACTCTCTCCGTTCGTGGTACGAGTGGTATTTACTTTAGTCCTTCGAGTACAAATATTTTCCAGAAATTGATCTCCTTTTAACTCTCTCTGTTCGTGGTATTTACTTTAGTCCTTCAAGTACAAATATTTTCCAGAAATTGATCTGTAAAAGTAGTGTTGTGCGTCGTCCGGTTTCCTGTTCAGTAATAATTCTATATTATATTTGTGTTTTTACAAACACATTAAGTATCGGTTACTGTAAATTGTCAGCAACAGCTGAAAACATGGAAATGCTCGAATAATAATTCCTGTCATTCGTACATAACTTCTATGATCAAAGTAAACTCTGAAAAATAAATTAGTAGCCACTAGTAATAAGTACACACAATTTCCAAATCATACCGCCATCATTGAATGACCAACAATATTTTATTCAGCAGCTGCCGTATTTTACCGTGTATATAAGTCGCTCCGGAGTATAAGTCGCACCAGCCAATAAAAAAAATGCAAAATGAAGAAGAAAAAAAAACATATAGAAGTCGCTGCGGAGTATAAGATGCACCAGCCGGTTAGAGTGCCCTCTAGCGGCTGGCAGGGTAAAAATAACAAACATGTACATTTTCAGCGGTACAGGACTAGCAGATACTGGTACACGAGCCTAGAGTGCCCTCTAGCGGCTGTCAGTGTGAAAATAAAAAAAACATGTGAAATTATATATGTCAATGTATAAGTCGCACCTGAGTTTGAATCGCAAACTTAGATTAAAAATTGTGACGTCTAGTCCAGGAAATACGGTGTATATCCGAAGAATCTCATTGTATACCGTATCACGTTAATACCTGCTAATTTTATGATGCTCGATGAGATTCTGTCAATCACGTGCAATGGTATTTCTTCATGGTGTGTGTGACCGTTGTACACAGTGTACTCCGTGCTTTGACAAAGCACAATCGTAAACCCGATCGGTCTCATAAGCTGACAGTCCATCAAACGTCACAATGTAATTACTAAAGTGCACCCCCCCCCCACCCCCCCGAAGAAACAAAGGTTTCACCTCACATTCTTTTTCACAAAACCTTTACTGTTTCCC